GTGTGTGTGTGTGTGTGTGTGTGTGTGTGTGTGTGTGTGTGTGTTAGCAGAAACAGTAGCACAGTGCCCTGGACTGAATTCTAGAAAGAGGTCAGGTGGTTCTTCAACACAGTGCAATCTGAGCAGTGACAAATGATCACAGGCTGGCTGTGGGCAGTGTGGCAGGATACACGTGAGAGTTCTCCAACCGGTTGCCCCAGTTCTCGCGCGAGCTCACCTGGGGCGCTTCCGGCTTCTCCCAAGGCCTGTGGACCAACGGCTTCCACCCCAGTCCTGGCGCCACCAGCCCGGTGTCTGTGGGCCAGCAGAGCCCCAGAGCGGGGAGGAGACACCCCCACACCCAACAGGCCTTCCGTGCCAGGAAGTTCCTCTCAGAGTCTTTCTGGAGCTTCCCTAGCTTGCTCCTCCTGGTCGGAGGTCCTGTGGGTGAACTCCAGAGCTAGCAAGAAGCCTCGCCAGGAAACTACCGGCTCCGGCTTCTCTGAATACTCGGGGAACCATGGCGGACACAGCTTCCCTTGCCTAGAGGAGAAAACAGTTACTTCATAGTAAGCGTCTGCCCTTTCCTTGCCCTTTTTTAGTGTCCGTGGCAGAGGTGACCTGGTGGTGACCATAGGTTTTGGCGTTGAGTATGGACACACCTGGTCTCTGATTTTGAGAGGTGTGAAACCTCAGGCATGTGGTGAAGTGGGCAGAATGATTCCTGTCTTGCTGAGCTTGAGTTCTCCGAGTGTGATGCCCACATTAGCAGCTCTCTAAAGCTGCAATTAATTTAAGATTGAAAAAAAAATGTAATGGCTGACCATGAAAAAAAAGTCGACCTTAAAAAGATAAAAGGTACAAATTTTTCTAGGAAAATCCAGCTTCATTCTCTTAGTAAATTTTATTGTTGTTCTTTCCTTTTAATCCATTGCAGAAAACTTCAAAAAAGGACACACTACATTTACTTAGAAATGTTAAGATTGTCCAAAAAAGGAATACCCAGATTTGATCAAGTTCAAGATGAAGAAATTTACCTGGAAAATTTAGCAGTACAGAGAAATGCTTCTGCTTTTTTTGAAAAATATGACCGGAGTGAAGTACAAGAGTTACTAACTACAGCACTAGTTAGCTGGTTGTCTGCCAAAGATGATGTTCGCTCTCCACTGGACATACCATGTGGACTTATGAGTCAAATGAATAACGTGGGCTTCTCCACAGCAATCTTACTGACTCCTATGGACCCAAGGGCCCTATTAGACTACAGAGAAGTCCATCAGATCATAAGGGAATTGTCTGTTGGAATTTATTGCTTAAATCAAATCCCTTCAATCAGTTTAGAAGCTAATTATGATCAGAGTTCTTCTTGCCAGTTACCTCCAGCTTATTATGATACCAGAATTGGGCAAATTCTGATCTATATTGACTACATGTTGAAAGCACTGTGGCATGGAATATACATGCCCAAAGAAAAACGAGCCCGATTCTCTGAATTGTGGCGTACTATTATGGACATTGATCCAGAGGGGAAACCTCAAACAAGTAAAGATATTTTTGCAGAGTTTAGTTCAGCAGGTAAGAGAATTTAATACTTCTTTATTTTTATTAGAAACCATTTTTAGAATCATTTGCTTTTGGCTCAGCTTATATCGCCTTTATTTTTTGATATAAATTTCTAGATATAGCAGTCATTTCTAAAAGATTTAATTCCAAGGACTATTTTCAATAAAACGTTTTTTTGAAATGCCACCAAGATGCCAAGCATCTTGCCTCTTTCATCTTAATCTCCAGTTACTGCCGAATGGATCAGACTCCAAACCACCTGATAATTTCCAGTTTGTACTTTTTAATCTTATGGAACCTAAGCAGGAAAATCAGTAATAGAAACAAGAAAAGAGTAGAACTTGAGGGCAATGAGAAAAATCTCCATACTTGAAAACAAAATGATTAGAAGAGTGGTTAACTTTTCACATTATGGTTTTTTTTAATAAACCTCAAAAAAATTAATTATGTAAGAATCCAAGTTGAGAATGAATATGCACTAGCAAAACTAGATCTTGGTATTTTAGTAACATTAGGTTTCATGAAGCTTTTCTTAGTTCATTTAATTTTTATTTCTTCCTCACCAAGGCTATACTTTCTATAGCCTGAATATAAACAATAGATTCTACTTAATCTTGTGGGATCCACATCAGCTTATATAATTTTTTATCAAAGTTTTTAAAAAATGTTTTATTTATGATACCTTTGCAGAAGGTCCAGTAGAATAAGGAGAAAAAATAGGACATGAGTGTCCCAAATCTTGCTGCCAACTATTTTCATTGATCAAATATATCTAATAACTTTCTAGTTGATTTCCAGAGTTTCTGGGCATAGGCTTAAAAAATAAATCTCAATTTTTGTACATCTGCATTGTAATTTCATCTGACTGGAGGAGAGACCATAGTGATAGACTTTATCATATCTAAAACTAAAAAAAAAAAAAAAAAGACAGCCCATCCTTCAGCAATTCAGATGTTTCCTTCTTAGCTATTCTTTTTATTTATTATTATTTTTGCATAAACTTACTGAGGCAGGAAAAGATTAATATTCTTCCCTAATTATCTATATTTTCCTTGACTAAGTATATCTGATAACTGAAGCTTTTAATAATAAAGCAGATGGAAATGAACCACTTTTATCTGAGTGGAATATACAATTGGGAAGAAAATTATTTGATAAAGTAAATACTTTAATTGGTCAGTGTAGATCTTGTTACTAGATAAAATGCCTTGAAAGCAAATTAAAGGGCTGGGGATATAGTCCAGTTGGCAGAGTGCTTGACTCACAAGCACAAGGCCATGGGTTCGATCCCCAGTAGCACCAAAAAAAAAAAAAAAAAAAGAAAGAAAAGCAAATTAGTTACTGTAAAGGTCAGGCGAGCGTCAGAGGAAGAGACCACCAAGAGACTGTCTCATGCAACAGCAAAGGGTTTATTGGGGGTCCAGCATGCTGGGGCTCAGAGCTCACTTGAATAGAGCAAAGAGCCTTGAGAACAGCTTAAGCAGAGCTTATATACTTTCCTTGGAGAGGGCAGGGAGGGAAGTTACATTTTGCAGTTTGGCAGTTGCGGACAGCTCATTCTGGGAACAAGATTAGCAAAGATTTCAACAGTGTTTTGCTAAGCATATAGAAAAATGGAGTGACAAGTACCTATTTTATTAACCTTTCATTCCCCACTTCTTTTTTTGGCTACTTTTAATCATAAAAGTGATCATTGGGGGGGTGTCACATTTTATGTCTGCTAGTGGGGTATATTGTTGTCTGATTACCATAAGTTTAACTTGTCCAATTTGAGCTCGGAGAAAGGAAACTACTCGGTTGAGCAAACAAGGTCCTATAGTTAGCAATAATATGAGGATTATTAATGGACCAGCCAGGGCTGATAAAAGCGTGGTTAACCAGGGGGACTGTGTGAACCAAGACTCATACCACTCTTTTTGGGTTCTCTCTCTCGCTGACGCTCTTTAAGGCATCTTTTTAATTTACTCATAGATTTTTTTTACAACTCCAGTATGGTCGGCATAAAAACAACATTCTTACCTCAATGCAGCACAAAGGCCCTCTTCTCTCATGAAGAGGAGGTCCAACCCTCGCGTGTTCTGTAAAACAACTTCAGAGAGAGAGATTAAAGATTCCTGCAAAGCTGTGATGGCGGTTTCTAATATCTTTAAGTTTTGGTCTATTGCTATTTCTAATTGGGTCATTTGTTGTGTCCCATGGACCAGGGCAGTGGTTCCTGTGCCCACCCCTGCAGCAACTCCTATTCCTAATAGGATGGCTAAAGTGAGGGATACAGGTTCTCGGCGAAACCGGGTTATATGCCCCCCTATTTGATCTTCAAATGAACCTGTGTCATGATAGAGCACTCTGGGAAACATCTGCATCATTACATAATTAAGTACATCTGTTGACCATTTTATGAAAACATAAATAATGTTTAAGTATATAGAATTATACTGTTGTAGGGGTTTAATGGAATTTTAGTGGGATCCTCTTCATCAGGGATATCCCAATAGGAAAGACCTATTGCCAACTGACAAATGTCTGGGTGGAGAGATGGCCACCAGGTCCCTAAGGGGGCTGTGTGCAAGATAGACCATATTTCTTGTCCAGTAGGATTTGTGATCAGCCATGGTTGCTGAACGGTCTGATGAGGGTTAGGACTACTAGTGATCAAGGGGAGAGTCTATAGCCCTATCCACACGGTGAATATGCAATTTGAGAGGGTTACCAGTCTTTTTCAGTTTCCAGCCAGAGTCTGGACAGGGCGTAGGCTTGAGATGAGAGGCATGGATCCAGGAAGTGATTCCGTCTACCTTTACCGTTGTAGGTGTTATAAGTAGCACCTGGTATGGTCCTTTCCAGCGGGGTTCCAGGGATGACACCTGATATCGTTTTATGTAGACGAAGTTTCCCACTTGATATCGGTGTGGAGTCCTTTCGTCCCCAGGTTGATAGGCAGTGGCCAGCTGTTTTCATAGGTATCGCTGGGTTTTATTAAGAGCTTTAAGTCTATCAAGCAAGGGGGTGTGAAAGGAATCGTTAGGTCTTAGAGTTGGGGTTAGGTCCCTTACTGGAGGAGGAGCACCATAGAGAATTTCATAGGGGTGAGGTTACACAAAGAAACAGAGGGAGTATTTTTTTGTACGAAACAGTGCATAAGGCAGAAGCATAGTCCAATCTTTTATGCCAGTCTCTAAGCTTAATTTCGTTAAGGTCTCTTCAATGGTTCTATTCATTTTTTTCTACCTGTCCTGAACTCTGGGGTCTATAAGCACAATGTAACTTCCAATTAATCCCCAGGGTCCTGGTTAACCCCTGACTTACATGGGCCACGAATACCGCCGGTCCATTATCAAACCCTATTACCTTAGGCAGGCCATATCTTGGAAAAATATCTTCCAGGATCTTCTTGACCACCATTTGTGTCATTTCTTTTTTGTGGGGAAGGCTTTAATCCATCCTGAAAATGTATCTACAAAGACTAGGAGATATTTAAGTCCATACCTTGCTGGCTTAATTTCAGTAAAGTCCATTTCCTATAATTGTCCTGGTCTGGTTCCTCGTAGGTGCTTTCCTGCAGGAAGCTTGGAAGGGTAAGCATTAACCAATTGACAGACCTGAAAGGCTTTTGTTACCCATTCAGCTATTTCCTTTTGCTGTGAGCCGGTTAGTGGAAAACTCTGTTCTTGATCTTTCAGGAATGCCTGCAGTTTCTTTGAACCAAGGTGAGTGAGTTGATGTACATTTTTAACGTAGTGTAGGGCTTTCTGAAATTGCAGGCTGGGCTCAGTGAAGTCGAGGAGTTCAGTGTCAGTGTCCTTAGATGTTAAGTTGTCAGGGTGCTCTGACGTAGTTAAATCTCCTGACTTATGTTCCCCCAGTGTGGAAAGTGTTAACATGGTTACTCCATTTAGGGCTGCCAATTTAGCCTCTTCATCCGCCCTCCTGTTAGATGGGGGTGGTATCTGCACAACAGTTTGTTTTCTGGGCTCAGTGAGCCATTGTTTACCGCCCCTAAGGAAATAGCCCAGGAAGATTACTTCTTGCTGGCAAACTTGGGCCTTTTTGGCAGAAGCTCTGTACCCGAGTTGAGCAAGCTCGGGTAATAGTGCTTGAGTCCCAGACTCACAGTTTTCCTTGGTGTCGGCTGCCAGTAGCAGGTCATCCACATATTGAAGCAGGGTGACTTCAGGGTGTGTAGTTCTGAAGTTGTTGAGATCTCTGTGGAGGGCTTCATCAAAGAGAGTAGGGGAGTTTTTAAACCTCTGTGGGAGTCTGGTCCAAGTTAGTTGACCAGACATTCTGGTTTCTGGGTCTACCCACTCGAAAGCAAATAGCAACTGACTATCTTTATGCAGAGGCAAGCAAAAGAAAGCATCTTTTAAGTCCAGAACAGTATACCATTTTCGTTCAGGGTTCAGAGTGATAAGCAGATTGTACAGATTAGGTACTGTGGGGTGAATGTCCTACACTCTGTTGTTGATCTCTCTTAGGTCTTGAATGGGGCGATAGTCCCCGGTTCCTGGCTTTTTTACTGGTAGCAGGGGAGTGTTCCAGGCCGATTGACAGGGCCTTAGGACTCCTAAGTTCAGATAATTCTGAATATGGGGCCTTATCCCATCTTTAGCTTCTTTGCTCAGAGGATATTGTTTGACATTAATTGGGGAGGCTGAGGTTTTTAACTCCACTGTTATTAGAGGTTGTTTCACGGCTAGGCCTAACCCAGCAGTTTCTGCCTAGGCATCTGGGTAATCTGTTATCCATTTCTGGGGTAGCTTGCCTGTTTGATCAGCCTTGGGGGGTGTAAAGAGTTGATGTTTATTTTTTACTGACATAGTTAAAGCCATGACTATAGGAGTTTTTACTGAAGGATTTAGAAATTTCATTTGGGGGCCTTTAGGGTTAAAAGTTATTTTGGCCTGGAGCTTGGTGAGCAGATCTCTGCCCATCAATGGGGCCGGGCATTCTGGGATCATTAGGAAGGAGTGATGGACTTTTCCTTTCCCCAGGTCCATGGTCCTCTTAGTTGT